TGTAAACCACTAGGAAGCTATGTACTTCGGAGAATCCCCTTCTTTAAAGGAAAAGTAATTGCTTGGTCTTTTGAGGAAAGATGAATAGTCTGGTTCTGACCAGCAATTATGCAGTCTGCAAAGATGCATGTGATTCTGTGAATGAAGATTCTGGGAACAGTTTGGTAGCTTTATACCAAACTAGGGAAAAAAAATTAAAAAATCTGAAGTGCTAGGGAAATGGCCATCTTATTAGCAGCTGCCAGCCTCATGCATCTTCCTCAGTATAACTCCTAACTGAGAGACAAAAGAGGCCAGCTAAATTCTTGAATGATTTTGGTGGCCCCCAGACTAGTAGAAGACCCCAAGTTCTAAGTCACAAACACAGGAGTGCTAATGAGGAGAAAAAACCAAACCAAACCAAACCAAACCAAACCAAACCAAACCAAACCAAACCAAACCAAACCAAACCAAACCAAACCAAACCAAACCAAACCAAACCAAACCAAACCAAACCAAACCAAACCACCACCGACAACAAAACAAACAAACAACAACAAAAAGACCTCTACAACATTTAGGCCATTCATGTCTTCAGCCCCTGTCACTCATCCAAGTTACTGGGAACATCCTGTGAAACACCTCTTGGGCTGCAGAACATTGCAGCATGATTGGTGTTGATTTGAAACTATGAATGGCATTTCCTGGCTTCCAAACTATCCAAGCTTCCTCACTGAAAAGAGCCTTCCCTTCTTGTCCTCTCCTTTATGTCCACAAGCAGACATTTTCTAGTGTGAAATCAACACTAAGACAAATAATAACTTTTTATATATTTTTATATTTTGGCATGGGCCAGTGGGGTTGTTGAGCATGTGGTACTTTTTTATATTAAATGTAGGTTTTATCTGTGTTTCAGTAGAGGATGGTGTTAAAAAACATTGCAAAGATATAAAGTGAAAAAAAAAAAGAAGAAAGTTTTCCAATTAAACTGCAAACCATTCTACTTGCAGATGGCTGAAATTGACCAAGTTATATTAGGAATAACCTGAATTATTCACAAGTCTAATTTTATAATTCTTATTAATTTTGACACGGAATAAAAATGGCAGTATTTTCTCAGCTTTGAATGGTTTTCCATAACTACACGCACTGCCTCTTCAGTGTCTATTAATAGCTTGAAGGACATCATTTTAATGAGATTACTAACTACCTTTTGGTTGGAAATGTCATTTAAGCAGTCTTTTAAGAAGCACATTAAAACGATTAGTCTGTGTCCTTAGTTGGAGCTGGAGCTTAAATCCTTCACATGGATCAAAAACAGTTTAGAAAGTGATCACCACAGCTTTTCTCTTTTCTCATGAAGACTGGTGCATATGTAGGGAAAATTCCATTTTCTTGGAATGTAGGAAGTCTGTTTTAACATCCTGGCTGCTTCCATGCTAAACAACCCCTCCTGAAGCAAACTGTTGAGGAACCGAAGATACTTTGCTTTCCATGCCTCATGTCTTCTCCCTGCTTCAGAGGATTTTTCCATAACTTCAATTTTTGTTTGTTTGTTTGTTTTACTCATGTTGTTTGCGGTGTGGCAGGACTCTCCTGGCACCCTGTAAAGGTGTTCTCAATGCTTTCCTATAGTACCAGGGACAACATTTCCTAAAAGACAGGCATGTGCTTCACCTTCATTAGAAGCTTCTATTAGAGCTCTTTTAATGACACCTGAACTCATTGTAGCTTATTGCATGTGACTTAAAGTGGGGAGAAATGAGCAGAACAAGGTAGAAAGACAACTGGGCATGCAAGCACCAGAGAACTGTTTGACAGGGAACAAGTAAGCTGCACAGTATGGTATGTTTCCAAGTCTGGAGAGAAATGGTGGGAGCAGAGGTCTCTGTGTGGATGATAGCAGCAAACAGCAGTTTGTAGTGGCTCATTGCTTGGGATAAAGGAGGCATTCAGGGACCGTTCTTCCTCTAATTTGTTCATTTTGCATAAAATGATGAAATGCCCATTTTGATCTGGTAATTTCATTACCCTTTTTGTTGTGTTGATTACCATGGCAGCTTCCTGAAATGAACTGAGAGATGCTTAGCAGCTTCTGAAGATGTTTCAGGAACACTTTGAAGATCAATTTAGACCAATTCTTGTCTAGATTTTCTGAAGCCATGAGAAAGAATTATTTCCCCAGTCATTAAAAAAAAAAAAAAAAAGACTCTAGTCAAAATCTCTGATTTACAAAAATAGATCTTATTTAAAATGCTCTTGGCAAATTTTAAAGGGTTGATTAAACCCTGAACATAAATTAAATTCACATATGTTTCATTTTATTTTATTTTTACTGTAAATAACAAATGACTTTGGGTCATTTAAATAACAGATGAGTTATTTAAATATACTACGTTTCAGCATTCAGTGGTTAACTTTGGTCATCTACTGAGTGTGAAAACTATTAAGTTTCTATTGCACATACAAATTTATCATTTTTAATGAGAAATCAAAGTTGTTGGAAAGAGTGATTTCTATTCCTCCTCCTCTGCTGTCACTGTCATGATCCTAGATAAAGAGGTTAGTTAAGGTACTGGACCAGGAATGGCAAGAGCTGTGTTTCCAGCTCTGCAAACAACTCCCTGAATCCCTTGCACAGATTGCCTGAACAATCTGTTCCTGCAGGATGTGAACCACTTATGGTATATGGCAACTTCTCCTGAATAGCATGAAGAGGATGGAGTCATATTCTGTCTTAGAGGCATATCTGCAGACTGAGATCAAGAGTTTGCTTGATGGTAGCTATTCACAACGTACTTGGATAATCACATTTTGGAGACTGTTGCAAGAAAAACAAACAAACAAAAAAGCACGTTACTTTTCAGGTCAAAGGAGTACAACTGAATACATGTAGAAAAACATGCTGGAAATAGCACTATGCTCTTGAGAGAGCCTGGCCTTCACTGGCCACTAGTGGGAGTGAGCTGTTCAAGAACTGCTTGTGTCTTTGAAACACAGCCTGTGAAAATGGAAAATGCTTGTTGTTTATTTTATTTTATTTTATTTTATTTTATTTTATTTTATTTTATTTTATTTTATTTTATTTTATTTTATTTTATTTTATTTTATTTTATTTTATTTTATTTTATTTTATTTTATTTTATTTTATTTTATTTTATTTTATTTATTTTATTTTATTTTGTTTTGTTTTATTTTATTTTATTTTATTTATTTTCTATTTCTTTTTATTTTATTTTATTTCTTTTTATTTTATTTCTTTTAATTTTATTTCTTTTAATATTATTCGTTTTTGGCGAACCTGGAAGGCACAAGACCCCTTGTGTGGACTTTGGGGAAAGAATCAGCTTCTGGTTTACTTCTGTCATTTTTCCAGCTAAAGAAGCTGGTGAAATAAGAGAGGTGGGTTGAAATCTGAGTGCCTTTCCCTAAAAAGACAGATCTTGTATCTCCAGGACTGTATGGGAGAACTCTGTCTGCTATCGCAAGGTTTATCTATCTGTCTCCCAGCCTCTTGACTGCTCAAGCACAGATCAATGCCTGTTGTCCTCATTACACCTTCCTGGACTAATAGTCCCTAAGTTTTGTCTGGCAGTAAGGTCTACTTTCTTCTTAGCAGATGAAGAACCAGAACGAGTTAGGGATTACATTGTCATCCCTATTTTCCAAACACTATCCAGAGGAGTGACTGAGGTTAAGAACTAAGAGCTGTGTCTCCAGCTGCTCCGGAGGACAGAGCTGGTAATAACAATCACTGTCTTTCTCCAGTGGAAAAGCCTGGGGCTTTGGAGAGGAGGCCAAGTGGCCAGGCTGTTCTCTGACATGGATGCAAGGGCACGCCAAAGGTTGCTGATGAATCACAGAAGCACAGAATCACAGAATGATTGAGGTTGGAAAGGACCTCTGGAGGTCATCTGGTAAAACCCCACTGCTCAAGCAGGGACACCTAGAGCAGGGTCCCCAGGACCACATCCAGATGGCTTTTGAATATCCCCAAGGAGGAAGACTCCACCACCTCTCTGGGCAACTCAGGTACCTGCACAGTAGAGAGGTGCTTCCTGGTGTTCAGAGGGAACCTCCTGTATCCCAGTTTGTGCCCATTGCCCCTTGTCCTGGCAGCGGGCACCACTGAAAATAACATGGCTCTGTCCTCTTTGGAGAATACCTCCCTTCAGGTATTTCTATACGTTGATAAAACCCCCTTGTGCCTTCTCTTTTCCAGGCTAAACCAGTCCCAGCTCTCTCAGACTAGGGCTTTAGGAGAGGGCAGCATGTGGATTTCTGTCCTGGTGCTAGGAGGAGCACAGCAGACGTTTTTATTTGTGTTAACCCTCCCACAAAGCTCCTTGAAGTGGATGGAGGAGCTCCCGCTGACTGTAGCAGGCATTGGTTGCTTTCTCAGGTGTACTTCCATAAGGCCCCAGAACCTGAGCCTTCTGCCCAGTATGTCTTCTGGAGGGAAAGTGCAGGTGGCCTGGCAAGATCAAATGAGGTCAGGAGGGTCTATGCTGCTGTTCAAACCTTTAGCACCACTGTGGTAAAGCACTTCCCCTTCCACTTCACCTGTTTTTGTTTTCTGCCCACGAAGGTTGTTGCTGTGGTGTTGTGCCTTTACATTTTCCATGTTAGAACACAGGGGAGAGTTCTTTTAGTTACAAACAGATAAGAAACATCTGTGCAGCAAATCTGGACAGAGCCAATGATCCTTGCTCTGCAGCAAAGGAAAGAGGAGAGGTCTCATGCAGCAGAAGTTTGGATCAGAGTTGGTTTTACAGTTACGGGCACTTTTATTCAGGCAGGAGACCATGGGAGATTTGCAGCCCTAGGAGCAAGTTCAAGTTTAAGAATATACTTCTAAATTCTAAAAGCATAGTCTCTGTGCTAGGAACATGCTCTGAAAGAAAACTCCTTTCATCTCATTAACCTGTGAAAGACCATACCAAATATTGGAGGCTTGGCACTGCTTCTGCTACTGGCTTGCTCTGAAACTTCAAGAAAATCATTTTGCATTCTTTTTGCAGGTTTGTCCATCTGGACTGGAAGCTGTTCAGAACAGAATTGCTTCTGGATAGCTGCACAATGCTGAACTGCAAACCTATATGCATAGAAACATAACATAAAACAAGGGAAGAAATCTGCAAGAGGTGTCAATGTCACAACTATGTCAAAGTAACCAGTCATATCTATTGGGATAATATAAACAGCAGAAGTGAATCCTGAGATAAAGAAATCCATCTGTTGATTGATTGTTGAGTGAAAAGTGAACAGAGGAGTTCTGGATCTTCTGATTTCCTTCTGTGTGAGTGATTTCTCCAGAATGCCTTCAAGGCAGATGACTCTCAAGAGCTGTCAGCAAATTTATTTAAGAATCAAATTTTGCCTGGTGAAGAAGGTATGCTTCCCCTTAAGTTTCAGTCTGCTAATATCAGACAGCTTTCCTCCTGAGGTCTAATGTCCGTGACTCAATAGCCAGCCAGACAGTATCATTTTCTCACTGCTGACAGTGTGATTTCCTCTCCAATTTGTGGTTACACAATTTGACAGATTCACTACCAGAAGTTCCAGGCAGTGAGGTCCACTGTAGCCTGAGGAGAAGTGAAAGCTTTCAGTTTCCAGAATAATCATCTTACCTCATGCCACCTCTTGCCATAGAACATAAATTCAGCTTTGAAGTGTTGAAACTTTGGTAGCTTTGAAGCTATGGATGGAGAGCCGTTGTACAGCATGGATATCTCCCCATGGAACAAATAAACCAGCGGTGTGTTGTCTTTTCAAAAATATTTTCATTTCATGGAACTCGAAATAACCATCTGTTGAAATAGGTGTGATGTCAAACAGAGAGGACTGACTAGGGAGGAGATTCTTTGTGTTTGCTGTTTCTGTTGCTGATTCTTTTATTGCTAACTGTAGGTAATAATATATACTTGTAGTCTCCTGGGAGGTGTTTGACATGCTTGTAGGACTGATTCTGTAGTCAGAATGAAGATATAAGGTTCCTGAAGTAAACAGTTTTTCCATGAAAGGTCAATACTTCATTCACTTCATTCAGTAGATTTGATATGCCACTCAATAGCTGGGACAGTTGTGGAGATGTCCTGAGATCTCTCCTGATAACAAGATGTATTTTCTTATGGCGTAAGGCAATTGGTGAAATGGCAGCTCAACAGTTGCGAGTCAGAAAGGATTTCATCTGGTGAAACCCTGCTTTGCTGAATGTCAAGTGAAAATAGAAGATTTCTATAAAAGGAGGAGGAAGTGCTCAGGTTTTTTGTCTTCTGGGTGAAAACAATCTCCTCTCTCAGTGGGATTCCTTTCACAACCAAGAAGGTGATGGTTAACTCTGATGCTGCATCCATCTGACTTTCCCCAAAGCTTTGATAGCCAGCATTCATCCCTGCACTTCAGCATGCAAGATCAGGAGTGTGCTGAAATGCTGGTAACCGTTTGGGTGGATGTATAGCCAACCATTTCGTATTTCCATAATAGTGCCATGCTCCTGTGTGAACGAGCCCAAGCACCCATCCGATTAGTTTACTCTCATACTGAGATCCCAGCCTGTTCCCTGTGCCAAGGTCTCACGCTGTGCTGCATGGGAGGTCATGGTGTCCTTACCTTCCTGTGAGCCCACATCTTCTGCTAATTTCCTTCTGCTGAGGTGTCATCGTGCTCTCTAAAAGTTGTTCACTTGCTTGTCCGGTACCAAGTAAATTCTTTTGAGTGCAACAGAATGGATGACACTGGGTTAAAAAGCATGTCCAATAAAAGCAGTCCTGACTTCAATTTCAAGGGTCTAGAGTACTGTATTAACAGAAAGTAAAGGTAGCAAAAGCAGGCAGTGAAAATAACATGATCGAATGGGGTTCTTTCATATAAAATGTCATGCCTCTACATTGTGCCTTAGAAAGTACTGAGATAAAAGTTTCCAGTTGCTTTAATGGCTTCTGGTATTTGAAGGTTGGAGGAAGCTTTATGTTCCGTACCCTCATCCACCGTGTACAAGCAGCAGCTGTGCTCAGCGTTTTTGGCACCGCTGCATTAGTTCCTCTCCCTGAGCTACAGCCGCAGACGGGGAGCCTGTGGGCAGGGGAGCAGAGGAAAGGCTGACTGCAGAGCTGTGAGGCAGCTGCCCTGCTCATGTAAACAGCGACATGTGAGTGTCACGGAGTGGTGCTATGTGAGCTATAAATTCTCCACCCACCCCAGATCCAGCCTGACAACAGCCTGACCTCAGTTCCATCATGTGAACTACTTTAAGCAGAGCTTTTCAGCATAGGGATATGCGGGGATCCTGCCAAGGCTTACAGAGACTCAGGCAGAGAGAGATGAGATCCTCCAGGCTCCAACTTCTATTTGTAGCTACCAGCAGAGCCCAGAGGACAGGCTACAGTGTTAACAGAAGGGTACACCACTCTGATCTCTTCATGCAGTCCTGTGTGATTTACAGCATAATTCTGAGGATACTTAAAGAATTCACTTAAAGAATTCACTACTTTTTTTTTTTTCTTCTTCCTTTTTTTTTCTTTTTTTTTTTTTTTTTTTTTTCCCAGGGTCAGTTCCCTCCATCTGCCATGCAGTGATAGAGCAATGTCTGTAAATCCCTCTTCTACAATGGCATGAGCCTCCCCTATGTCGGGTAGGTCTGCTTTTTCCCTTTTTGCTGGCCCTGTCTTTTGCAGCTTTCTCCTTCTCATGTGACTAGTGCAGGCATCTCACTTCTCACTTGTGGCTGAGATCCAGGTGAAAAGCACAGGGAAGGGAACAGGCTGTAAACAGAAGACTCCTTCCTGTGCACCCCTGTGCTGGCTAACAGACGTGAAGGTTGCAGGTAACTCCTGAAAGCCTCCCACGTGCATCCCACGCCTCCCTCCTTACTCTCCAGCACAACAGTGAACACAGATGAGGAAAACGTGTCTGGCCTGGCCTGGCAGTTCTAATATTTCTGAAGAAATCAGATTCCCCTCCCCCCCCCCCTTTTTTTTTTCTTTTTTCTTTTTTTTTTTTCTTTTTTTTTCTTTTTTTTTTTTTTTTCTTTTTCATGTGTTTTTCTCTAGGGAATCACGTAAACAAACCGTACGAACACTTACAGGTGCCTCTACCACAAACATCACGCAGAATTACCATTTAGAAATATATGTTTCCTTTTTGGGAGTGTGACCTGAAAAGTAACAGGTTATATTGGATTTTCAACTGCCATCAATCTCATCAAGTTTTCCCGATTACACAAGTTGATTTGTCACTGCAGTATTCTCCTACAGGACTAACCCTAGCATTTACTGCTGCTCGGAGGGGGTCTTCTCCTTTTTCTTCTGTGGCAGCAGTCGTCTTGTTTTGTGGCACTTTTGAAATGATGGTTGTCAGAGTTTATCTCTAAAAAGACAGATGCTGAGGCAGTGTTGGTCTTACTGGTGCTAAAAATAATGTAGTTTCTAATAAATAATCCCATGTCCTGGAAACCATCTACATTTATCTTCTCAATGATTTCTGTCATCAAAAATGTCTGTTTTTTAAAATCTATGATCTGCATGCCATGCTGAAAATAACACTCACAGAGGAAAAAGAGACATATGCCAAACAAAGGCTTACTTCAGTAAGTCTTCAAAAGAGTGCTTTGTGGTCTTGCTGGTCTTCAGGATGAGGTAGTTTATGAGGAGCTGAGATGCAGCTTAGGGATACAGCAAAATGCAAAATGGAAAATAACCAAATCACCAGTCTCTTTTTTCAAATCTTGTCCTGTACTAGTACTTCGTTTGTTGATGCTGTTGCCCTTTCTTGGACTGATTGGTGCATAAAGTGATGCTCCAGCACTGGAAACTGGTGACAACCAAACCAGGTACCCAAACTCCCAGACGAGTGACCTGACTGCCAGGGCATGGCACTTACAGTCATCTGCTATCACAGTGGACTTGCTGGGTCCTACACCTTTAAATTAGGAATTCCGGGGTTAGACATTGGATTGTTCTTTTTCCAGCTTCCCTTCTATATAAAGTCTGTGAAAGGTGCACCTTTCTGGTATGTCAGATCAAAAAAAAAGCAATGTGCTTTTATGGTCTCTTCAAGTAACTCAGGAAATATCAGCTCCCAGCTCCCCTGAAGGAAAGAGAAATCTGAAGTGCGTCCCTCACGCTGGATCCTGCTAGTTTATGTTTCATCTTGAAATAAGTTCCATGCTTTAAATCCAGAACTGGAACTTTCAAGTTTCACTCTGCTAGCAAGAACAAATGCTTTTGTATCCTTTTACAAGTGCTTGTGCAGGCAGAAATGGCCAGCCTTAAGAACAGCTATAATCTAAACCCCCTTGTACTAATTATGGCAAAACATTAAAAATTATACCTTGTAGACTTAGCACTTATTTTTAACAATGACAAGATAATATACACCAGAAGAGTGACAAAAATAGGACAGGAAATACTCTTTAGTTTGGCTGTGAAGGTTATTTAATAGAAGCCAAGCCTTTCTTGTGACTGACAATAATTCCTATGACCTGAATAGAGCTCCCTGCCTCTAAATCTCAGTGCAGCTTACAAAAGGTAGGTTTCTTTATTGCCTTCTCGATGCAGTAAAACAGAGGCATGGAGAAAGTCACTCTTCTGAGGTCACAAAGAGGACAGAACTGAGTATCCTGAAGTTTTGTGATCCCAGGCTAGTGCCCTGTTAGTCAGATAGCAGCACAGTGGCAGTACTTGAGTCTTGTGGTACCTGAGGGGTCCCCTGTTCCTAGCTCAAGGAGATGCTGCCTGTGAAGAATGCAAGTTATCAGCTATCCCCTCTTTCAAAAGTAAGGGGTTGTGACTAATTCTTCACAGAACGATATTAAATCCACTGGTTTCTGTAGTTACATTTGGGCAAGTCTGGAGCAACAGAGCTACATTTGTTTTGTACCTTTCAATGTTATTGCCTGAAAATCTGATCTTGGCAGAGATGTGAGCATGTGAGAGATATTTTGCCTTCCCTTCTCTGCTGTATATGACAAAGCTAAAAGGTAAGGATCATCTCTTTCATGTGGAACAATCGATGGAGCTACAAGAAAACTTTTAGCAATTTGTGCTGTACGGGAATCAAACTTCAGGTCTATTGTAAAGGCACAAAATTCTCCCTGAATTTCAAGTGTAACAAGACAAAGAGATCGCCAAGTAAAAGGCAGTATAAAAACTGGCAAGTTGCATGATGCTGTAACTGCCTCACACTGGTTCAGGAGGAGGGAAGAAAATTACAGTTTTGTTTTACAGTAGCTTGGGAGGATTCTTAATCTGTATTTTAATGTCCAATAAGGGTATTCTGAGCATTAAAAAAGTAATCTTTCTGTTACTTTTAGTACATTTTTTCAGGTATAAGGGGTTCTGAATTTTGGTTTCTCTTTCTCTCTCTCCTTTTCTTCCCCATGGAGCTGATCTGAATTTTGTGCCACCAACAATGAGAACCTCTACACACTGCCCAAGTGTTGACAAGGAAACATTTTATCAATCCGATCCAAGTCTCCTCCTGTTAACCTTGATTATTTCTGCTCACAGGGGTGCTCAGTACCCATGGTTAATGCCAGTTAGATAAAATCCAAGCAAAGACAGATGTTATTGTTATTATTTTTTTTTAATGTTCTTTTAAATGTGTCTTGTGCACTGAAACATATCAAAGTTGTATCCATAAAAACCTGCCATGGGTAAGTAACTTGCATTGTGTACCACAGAAGAAGCAATAATCCTATATTTCCTTTTGTGATACTCTATTTTGAATCTCAGAAGCACTTTACTCTTTGGAGTTTGTGTGTGTGCCAAGGGAAGTATGAGAATGGACCAGTAAAATGTTTGGGACTTTTGCTGAAAGATAGATAGCCTCCATTTTCTTCCTGTTCTAGTTCACTTGTGTGCTGAATGTTTCATGATGTGTTCAGAAACAACCTTATGGCTCGTGCTTTGCTGTTAATTCTTCAGTGCCCTTTCCAGAAGCAGACAGTTCCTAGATTATCAATTAGAATGCCTGGAAAATTTACTTGCTTTGCTAGTAAATGTTTCAGTGCAAATGCTTTCATTTTGACCAAGAGTCATTTTGAGTCATATGACCAAGAGTCATAAAGCATTTTTTCTTTCTTTTTGTTTTAATTTTGAGAAGAATATGAAAACAAATGGTGTTTTGTGTCTGAGTTTTTAAATATATATATATATATATTTCCAGCAGCATGTACACCTCCTCTTTTTAATATACATTGTCTTTTGGAGAACTGTAACTTAGATAGAAATTTATTCACCAGAATCAGTGGAAAGTATTTTTTCCTCCCTCAGCTGGATGGCTGTTTAGCTGCTGCCTTCCCAGACCAAAAAGGATGTTTCAGCAGAAGACGCTTTGAGATCACTTGGGCTATACTGTGACACATGGTTTCTGAATTTGGCATAACAATGCTAGGAAACGGAAAACATCTTTCCAGTCTGGTATCATTGTTTCAACCTACCCCTTACCTCAGATGAAGAACCCGATTAAACTGTTTTTGTTGAGGTTCCAAACCTTTACTCAATTTTGCAGAGAGAAAACGCACACACACACACACACACACAAACAAAACAAAACAAACAAAGAAACAAACAGAAAAAAAAAAAAAGAGAAAAAAAACAAAAAGAAAAAAACAGAAGGAAATGTAGCTAAACAGAGTTTAAATTTCTGATGTTTTCCACCTGGGTGACTTGAATTTTCACATCATATAGATGTGTAATTGTGCTGTGCTGTGTTCGTTATACTTCATGACCACTGCCCTTTGTCTTCCTGGACTTTTTATTTACTTCTTCTTCCTCTAGCTGGCAAGTGAAACTTTAAATATATGGGAAGCTGATATCACATTATCTTCTTTTTATATCTCTGTCCCTATGTATTACCATAATTGCTGGAAGTAATTATCAGGGAGAACTACTTAAAGAAGATCTTTGTGCAGAGAACATGTAAACTCATGGGGTATATTTTGTGGGGAGGGGTCTCTGCTGTCTCACACACCTAGTTAAGCTCAAAAGACATTTGGATGGGTGCTTCTCAGCACACAGACATTGGTTCTGTCCTCTTCTGTAGAAGACACACACACAAAAAAATAAAGAAATAAAAAGGATCCACTGAGAAATAACTAGCTATTCATAGAAGAAGAGAACAGGGTAGAATAACTGACTTCCTGGTGGGAGGGCTTTTCAAATCTCTGCGTTTCATACAGGTTTATATAATGCCACATTTCTCTTTATAACCAAAGACTTGGAAAAGAATCCAGTACCATTTCAAGAGATTAAAGTAACTTTTAAAGAAGCTTTTATTTTGGATAACCCCAACTCAAAATATACAAAACAATATGTTACACGCGGTGTTCTTTCAACCCCTCTTCCATTGACGCCAGAACAAATTCTTACCTTTTTTAACATTATGTGTTCTGAAAGCCCTTTCTACAGAATCTCATTATTTGTTCCATAATTTGTTCCCCAGCC